CGGCCAAAGGAGCTGTTAGCGTTGGAAAAGACAGGCGGCAAGATTGGGGCGGATGAGCCACAACAAAGGCCTGTTCTATCTGGGCAGGTGGATGGTGCGGCGTCAGCTTCAGTCGGGGCAGAGGTGCTTGATGGGCCAGCAGGGGTGAGGGCGCACGGGCAACGTTCTTTGGAAGGGGCAAAGGAGTGCGCTGCTCCTCCTCTTCCCTTGGGGTCGCAGTGCACGTTACACGAGACCACTCCAGGCTTGGGGACGCGACCTCCAGGGGCTGATGGTGTTGAGCTCTCCAACGGGCAGCCATGCGCGCTCCATGTCATGATAGAGTTCGAGGGGGGAGTGCTGGTAGAGGAGGCTTTCTAGCTCGCAGCAGAACAGGAGATCGAGCGGATTGCAGATGTGATGTATCCAGAGATGATGAAGGCACGCAAGGGTGAAGGGTTGGAGGAAGATGGTGGCCGGGGAACCTCGCAGCAACTGTCACCCTTGGCGGTGGAACATATGGCAGATGTAGGTAACCTCTGTCCACGGGGTACGGTGCTGAAGGAAGGCCTAAGTGTGGTGGAAGTTGGTCCGTCGGTTGAACAGCCTCGTCAGGCTCTCGATGACGCCTTCGGGATGGTCACGGGTAAGTCCAAGGGAGTGCGTGCGAAATTCCCGTCTGATAGGGAGCTGCGATCTACGGTACGGGCTTCACAACATTCCTTCCAACGTTTATCTTATGATTAATGCTCTCTTTTGGAACATTAGGGGTGTCGTTAAGGCTTCCCATTTTCATAGGTTGAGGAAATTAGTTGTGTCTCATCATATCCAATTGCCAGTAGTGTGCGAAACGCATGTTCAAATGGCGTTAGCTGAAGAGTTTCGGGTTAAATTGAATTTTGATTATGTGATTTCTCATTCTGAGGGTTTGTTGTGGGTTTTCTATAACTCTCCTTTTAGTTGCTCCATTTTGGGTGAGGGTACTCAATTTTTATCCTTGTCAGTACAACATCCGGCTTGGTAAGCTCGATCTCCTTCTCTGCGGTTCATGCTGCTTCTACTAGGGAGGAAAGGAGATCACTTTGGGCAGGGTTGCTCCATTGCAAACCATCGCAAGGTCGCTGGTTGGTGTGTGGTGATTTCAATGCTATTGTTAGTGAGGAGGAAAAGAAGGGGGGTGGCCTTTCACAATTGCGGAGGCGGCGGATTTGGTGGACTTCATGAGTTCCGCGGGGATGGTGGATGTCGGTTTCTTAGGATCTTATTTTACCTGGTGTAACAATCGTCGCGGACTAGCTAGGATTTGGAAGCGTTTGGACCGACTACTGCTGAATGTGGAGTGTTTTGATGCGGGTTTGTCAGTTGGTGTTACTCATTTGGAGCGCCATCCCTCCGATCATGCGCCTCTGTTGATATCTACTGCCACGAGGTTGGATGGTAAACCCCGTCCTTTTCGGTTCATTAATGCTTGGACGGATCGTGAGGACTTTTGGGGGTGGTGAGAGAGTCATAGCAGCAAGAGTGCGATGGGCCCCCAATGCATGTGCTCTGCTCAAAGTTACAGAGGCTAAAGCGCCATCTTCAACGCTGGAACAAGGATCATGTGGGAAATTTCTCCGACAATGTAGCAAAGGCTGAAGAAGAGGTTGGAAGGTTGGAGAGAGGATTGGAGGCAGGGGGTTCGCAGTGGGACATGAGGAGCTGCAGGTGGCCCGGGCATCGTTGAACCGAGCACTTGCCTTGGAGGAGTCACTGTGGAAGCAAAGAGCTCGGGTCAAATGGCTGGCCTTTCGGGATTGAAACACTAAGTTTTTCCACTCGGTGGTCAAGCAACGGCATATGCAATCGGTGATTCATTGAGTACGGAAATCGAGTGGGGAATGGGTCACGGAGGATCCGCTTATTGGAGAGGAGGCAGTGCGATATTTCTCCTCTTTATTCTCTTTGAAGGATGCCCCAGGTATGAAGGACGTGCCTGATGTCATCCCGAGGCTGATATCGTTGGAGGACAATGAGCGCTTGGAGGAGGTCCTATCCCTGGGGGAAGTGCGACAGACGATATATGACATGGATGGGAGCAGTGCTGCCGGGCCGGACGGGTTCACCAGGAGGTTCTTCTCCGCCACCTGGGAGATAGTTGGAGGTGATGTGTATAACGCGGTCCAGAGTTTCTTTTGCGGTGCTGAACTGCCGAGGCAGGTCACTGCTACCTCTATTGTTTTATTGCCCAAGGTACAGAAGCCTCAGGAGTTCTCACAGTTTCGTCCTATCAGCCTCTGCAATTTTGTGAACAAGATCTTCTCAAAGATTCTGGCCCGCCGGCTAGCTCCTCTCTTGCCTAAGATTATCTCGCCGAATCAGAGCGGTTTTGTTCGAGAACGGTCCATTTCGGACAATTACTTACTAGCTCAGGAGGTCATAGCAGGCATCAAGAGGAAAGCGCGTGGGGAAAATGTCGTGTTCAAGCTTGACATGACAAAAACTTATGATAGGGTGACGTGGCCTTTCTTGATAAAGGTATTGCGTGCATTTGGTTTTGGGGAGCGCTGGATTGATATGATCTGGCGGATTATTTCCAATGTCTGGTTCTCTGTTGTTATAAATGGATCACTCTGTGGGTTTTTTAAGTCGGCTCGAGGGCTTCGCCAGGGTGACCCGTTGTCGCCTGCTCTGTTTATCATCGGGGCGGAAGTGTTATCTCGGTCTCTTAACCAGCTTGTGTCTTGTCGGGGGTTTCAAGGTTTTTTGGTCCCAAAAGAGTGCCCAACTATTACGCATTTGGGGTATGCTGATGATGTTCTTATATTCTCTAGTGCGACGGCCTCCTCTCTCCGGCTAGTATTGAAGGTATTAGAGGAGTATGAGGCATCATCTGGCCAGCTGATCAATAAAACAAAGAGTTGTTTTTTGGTTCACGACAAGTTAGGAAGGCCGAGGAGGAATTTGATCTAGCAAGTCACGGGCTTCAAGGCTAGGTCATTTCCCATCAGGTATTTAGGGTATCCTCTATATTATGGGCGGCAGAAAAAGGAGTTTTTTGCTGGGCTATGCCTTGCTGTGATGTGTAAGGTTGACTCCTGGAAAAACCGGCTCCTGTCTGTGGGGGGGAGGATCGTGCTATTGAAACATGTCCTCTCCACGCTTCCAGTCCATCTTTTGATGACTGCTTCGCCTCCAAAATCGGTATTCAAAGAGATCGAAGGGAGGTTCTCCAACTTCCTATGGGGCGAGTCCGCGTGGGGGCATAAGTTGCATTGGATCGGGTGGAATGACCTATGTGTGCTAGGTGAAGAAGGGGGCATGGGATTCCGCCATCTAGAGGATATTCATGATGCATTTTCCGTCAAGCTGTGGTGGAGCTTCCGGTCCTTGTCTTCTCTGTGGGCGACCTTCATGGAGGCTAAGTATTGCGCGCAAGTGCATCCTAATCTGGTATATCGTTGTGGGGGGTCGCAGGTATGGAGGAGGATGTTGGCAATCCGTCAGCTTGTGGAGAGCCACATTGGATGGATTGGTCGCTCTGGTAGCTCGAACTTCTGGTTTGACAATTGGCTTGGGACAAGTTTGCTGTCATCATGGCTGGATAGTGTGTCGGATCACAGGGTTGCTGATTTTGTAACGAATGGGTCTTGGAACGTTCAGCTCCTGCAACAATGGGTGCCGCATGGGGCAGTCAGAGAGGTTGCGAGGGTTGCTCCCCTGGTTGGGCATCTGCCTGACTTGATGGTATGGAGACCGTCCCAGTCGGGGCGGTTCACCCTCCGGACTGCATTTCAATTAGTGCGTCGGCATGCCAATAGCTCCTTCATGTATCGCAGATTGTGGCACCCAGTGCTGCCTTTGAAAATCTCCTTCTTCTTATTACGACTTCTACGTGGTCGGTTACCTGTGGATTGCGGCCTGTGGAAGTTCGGGTTTCACGGGCCTTCCAGGTGTGGGTGCTGTTCATGGCCGGATATCGAGTCCATCGATCATGTGTTTGTTGAGGGGGATATGGCGTCACGAGTATGGCATTTCTTCGGGGACCCAGTGGGCATATCTTGGACCGGTTCATTGTTTCGTGTCTGTCTGGCAGCCTGGTGGTATGGGAACAGGGGTAATCGGTACCTATCCTTTGTTCATCATATTCTTCCGCTTCTGATTTGCTGGCACCTGTGGAAATATAGGAACGCCATGAGGTATGAGGGGATTGATGTAGGGTTCGACAGGTTGTGCAATTTGGTCATGGCTGATCTCCTGGAGCTGTTTGCTCTACACTTCAAGCAACGTAGATCCCTCCCGGTGGCTTGGGTGCATTTCTATGCAGCTATTTCCCGGTGGGCTCCACGGATGTCATACTCGCTAGTGCAGTGGTCGCGGCCTTCACGTGAGGGTCTCAAACTCAATATCGATGGGTGCTCCAAGGGTAACCCAGGTCTTAGTGGGGGAGGAGGGGTCCTTCGGGATAGTGGGGGTAGATTAATCTTAGCATTTTCTTGCCATCTTGGTCAAGCTACGAGTGTTCAGGCTGAAGTTCGTGCTCTGCTTTTTGGGGTGAAGGTGTGCATTCAACGGGGGCTCCGGAATTTGGAGATTGAATTAGATTCACTCGTGTTAGTCCACATTCTGCTTGGTAAGGCTAGTTGCCCGTGGAGTGTTTTCCAGGAGATACAGCAGTTGCTTGCGTTTAAGGAGCACATCTCTCGGGTGGGACACTATTTTCGTCAGGCGAATCAAGTTGCTGATGTCTTATCGAATGTTGGGTGTGCTCAGGGGGGAGAGGTTATTTACACGGTAGCGTCTGAGTTACCTCCGGCGGCTAGAGGAGCCTTACGCCTAGATAGGTGCGGGCTCCCTTCTGTTAGAAAGATTGTTTAGGATCACATAGATGTGTAGGGACCGTTTGGTGTTCCTTTCAGTTCATTTATATATTAATCGGGGGTGGCGTCCCTCCCCGTGATCGGGGTTAGCCAAAAAAAAATAAAACTATAATAATTTTTTTTTTTTCATAACAATACTAACATTAAAATTATTTCATCAAACCAGAAGTCACAAGGCACAGAACCGACCATACTACCACATGATATCTTATTTTAAAAGACAATCTAAGATAGATTTTTTCAGATTATGTATATGTATGTATACATATACATGATCATATATGTATGTATTCACACATACATCTCAATCACTATCGCTATCACTGCTGCTACTATGACCATGTTCATGGCCATGCTCATGCTCATGCTTCTTCTTCTCCTTTTTCTTCTTCTTCTCATCCTTATGTTCATGGTGTTCTCCTCCCTCACCATGGATCTTGTCCTTGATCTTGTCAATCACTCCTTCCTTGTGTTCACCACTATGGCCTTCCTTCTTGTGCTCCTCTCCATGGTGGTGTTTCTCACCCTCCTTATGCTTTTCATGATCATCCTTGTGGCCTCCCATGCCCAAGGTCTTCTCAATCTTGTGAATGATTCCTGCCATTTTTTCCCTGCAACTCTTTCTTGTTTTTTCTTTGTTTCTTTCTTGCAATGTTTTGATAAAAAAAATTAACTATAATAAGATAGTTAAAATAATAATATATTAATGCACAAATGTGGAGGGTTAAGGCACGGATATCTCATTTTCTTTAAGGTGATTCAAACCTCTACGGAAGAATCAACTCCGGTGTAGCAGAATTTCCGACTTGTCACCTCCAGGATATAATAACCCAACCACACTTGCTAGCACTCTCTCTAAACTGCACTATTAGGAGACTATAACTCTACAAACACCTTTTTTCTTGCCCAACTATGAGATCAAAAATAGTGAACTTAAACTCACAAGACATAAGTTGTAGTAGTAGTATATTTCCATCTCAACTATGCATATTTATAGGTGAAGAAAAATTAGACAAACATAACCTACACTACTAATAAGACACCAAATAAATGCTGAAATTATTGGTCATTCAAAACACATTGAAATTTGTATTGTAGGTTACAAAAAACTTATGTTAATTGAAAAGCCATAATTTCTTATAATAAGTCTTTAGTTAAAAACATTCAAAGACCAATACATTTCAAAAACATTCACCAATTTATTCTCCTTGTAACTTACACCTTTAATTGAGAATTTAACTATTTTATTAAAATACTCCAATAATCCCCCACTTATTTTAATAAAATAGTATAATATTATATGGCAAGAAAGGACTAATATGCATAATATAGGTAGTTATGCCTTGAACCTATATTTTATGTTATAGTAATTTCTAATACCAGAGCCAATAGTGAACTTCGGTTTTGAACTATGGGTGCTTTTGGGATATTAAATATCACCTTACACACCCAATAGTCCAAGTGTTCTCATGAGCTAATAAAACTGGTATTTTATGGTCTTGTGCTCAATCTCAGTTTTCTCATGAGTGTATAAGAGAACAAGTTCCAATTCTCTTTAGGACGGCCCCTCCCATAACACTCATATAGGTGAAATCCATCAAGGGTGCTCCCGTAATTCAAACACCCCACTCATAGGATCTATAGATTTCATTAAGAGTAATAAAGCTCAACCTTTCTTTTGTCACAAGATGTATGCATATATATTACAGGGATGGACCATACTTTTCAAAATTTGTGCATATCCATTTCAAATTGCCATGTAATTCTTTTTTCCCTTTAAACCTAACTCTTGGGATCTCCAATTATTAGGTTGGGAATCCTTACATGTGATTTATGATTCATGGACTTTAGTCACATCCCTCTCAGGTTTATCATATCTTTGCCTCAAGTTTGAGTTATTCACTATCATCACAAAACATAAACAAAGATATGATCTCATTGACACTCAAGCCAAACTATTTTCATCAAGTAGCACAATAATGAAATGATAAAACCAATATTTTGTGAGAATATTTCTCACATAATTGCTATACAAGCAATTATATACACTTCAAGTGAAGGCTCAATGTTTTTCAATTTTTTCCATTGTAGTAGCTAGTAGTCTCACTAGAAATCATCAACATAGATGACCATTAGTTTACTACTAGGAGCTACTTTATTTCTCAATAATTCTCAATTTCATCTAGTAGGCCAGTAGTCTATAAACCTACTAGGAACCATATTTACCATCTCCATGGAAATTCCATATAATTTCTATTTGCAAAAATATGAAATACATACTTCAAGTGCCTTCACATTATAGTCACACTTTTGAGTGCGTGTCCATCTGCACAAACTCAAAGAAAGAATTAAGAAATCTAAAAAATATGATAGTCAATGTCAGTTAATATTGCACTTAATTGCAACTTTAAAATTCACACCCACAAGTTGCAATTATAACATGGTATCACATGAGATTTGTATATATTTTTTTTTCAAAATATAGATCCATGACATTTAATTGAGTATCCTCAAGTAATTAATCTAATTCTTTGCATTAATTTTCAGCAAACAAATAACCCCCACTATTTTAATGCTTTAATGATATGCAACTAAACATATATCGCATTTAAAGATCAAGTCTTTGCATATTAACATAAAAAATTACCATGAACCTCCACTATTTGTCACAACTTTCTAACATTCAATGGAGTATATATCTATTGCAATTAAGGTAAATGACCCAATTAATCATACCCATTGGAAGTTCACTTTTACTTGTTAAGAAGAAACCTTTAAAATTTCTTCCACAATGCATGGTAGCAACTTGTCTAGTACAACAACAAGTTGTAACTGTTCAATAATTCAAACTCCTTGGGATCTATTTCCGTAGTGCCATATTTTACTATTAAGCGTTCCAAAACTTTTGGTATTAGGATAAGAAGTTTCATAGAAACTATAAAAGTCATTATAATACTAGTAATGGAATTCAACAACTTCCCTTTTTCTAAATTTTTCTTCACAAGCATTCTTTTACGCTTCATATATCTCATTGGTAGAGATCTTCTCACTTTTTCCCATCCATAGGTAGACTACTCAAGTCACTTGAGTTGATCGTGGGTGACCTATAAGTTGAACTCCATTTTAAACTGAATCACCTTAAAATTGCTGTTCCGTTAGAATAAAAATACAAATGTTAAATAGAAAAATTAACAATAGTTATAATAATTATTACAACAATAATAAAATTAACTATACTAAGATAGTTAAAATAATAATATAATAATGCACAAATGTGGAGGGCTGAAGCACGGATATCTCGTTTTCTTTAAGGTGATTCAAACCTCTACAGAAGAATCAACTCCGGTGTAGCAGAATTTCCGACTTGTCACCTCCAGGATATAATAACCCAACCACACTTGCTAACACTCTCTCTAAACTGCACAATTAGGAGACTATAACTCTACAAACACCTTTTTTCTTGCCCAACTATGAGATCGAAAATAGTGAACTTAAACTCACAAGACATAAGTTGTAGTAGTAGTATATTTCCATCTCAACTATGCATATTTATAGGTGAAGAAAAATTAGACAAACATAACCTACACTTCTAATAAGACACCAAATAAATGCTGAAATTATTGGCCATTCAAAACACATTGAAATTTGTATTGTAGGTTACAAAAAACTTATGTTAATTGAAAAGCCATAATTTCTTATAATAAGTCTTTAGTTAAAAACATTCAAAGACCAATACATTTCAAAAACATTCACCAATTTATTCTCCTTGTAACTTACACCTTTAATTGAGAATTTAACTATTTTATTAAAATACTCCAACATATCTTGATTTTGGTCTCCTACACAATAAAAATATATATTTTTCCTTTTGGTTTCTTGCATTTTTTCAACTTGTGCAGGCATGTATCATCAAATTGTAATTGGGATATATATATATATTCATCAAAGATTTTCAGCCAACCCATTGCCATGTATACTAGCCACAAATGTATGCCTAGCAACTACCATTTAATTGTTTGGGTACATTAATCAATTTGAAGGACAAACCTACAAAGCTGTCGAATCTTATCAACTAAATAAGAGTCAATGTACTGTACATCTTGTTGATCATGACTAGTCAATGGCTGTAAGGTTGTACTCTCTTATCTAGAAGATGATCTTTCCAAAGAGTGGCCAAATCATCGAGGCACCTTAATGTTTATCGCTACAAACTTATAAAAATTATTTGTGGTTTGTATATGTAAATTCTGTAAGCAATCGGATAGTTGAAAATTCAATTGACAGTAAATTGAGTGAATAATTAAATCCTAAAGCACAATAACTTCTACGAGATTATTATACTCATAAAAAGTTTAAAACTAATTAATAACTCGTAATCCATCATTTTCGAGGGGCAATTATGTTGTGGCCCAGAAAGATCTGAGGATGGTGGACACACTAATCCCTTTTTGGTGGCCATGAAGCTAAAGTTCAATAGTTTTTGGTCTCTCAATTATTCATCATATTTATTTAGTCTGAATTCCGTACTTCGAGTTTCCAAACGTTATAATAGCGAGGATCACTAATGCGAAAGGGTATCGTCGTATCGATGCAAGACAAGAAATTAAAGTTTTTCTTTTTAATTTCTTTCTACGGGTGGGATTTGCGGAGATGGAAAAGGAAGATTGAAACCAAAACCTCTAACTATTGAGGTCTCAACTTTTAATCATTAGATCAGGGCCTTCTCAACCAATGTTTATTTGATGTAAAAAATTCATTTAGACAGTGAAAGTGGCTATAAACCTACTTCAGTTTCTTTCTAACAACAATTTTTTGTTTTTTCTTTCTATGTATAGTGGGACGATCAAAACAGCAGTCGTCCTCTGTTCTTTCTCACCTGCTGTCTTCTGTTTGACAACAATGCCAGCCATCCTCCCTGTTCTCACATATAGACAGTGAAAGTAGCAATTAGCCAAAATAAGAATTTAGAGGAGAAGGCGTGGAATTTGAAATGATGTCTTTATTGAGGGAATTTGAAATCCATCTATTTTAATTTCTAAACCCCTTTCAATAAGTGGTGGATTTCAAATCCCAATTCTCATTGAGTTAACCAAACAAATGAAGAGTTTTGGATGAGGATTTCTGTGAGAACCCGTACTTTTCCCATTTTCTAGGGTTTTATTTATTTAATGGTTTGTTTTCTGCATTTTTTTTTTAGTAGGAAATTTTTTTAGATATTTTTAATGAGCAGATATAGTTTTTAGATGATTTTTCTAGTATTGGATAGTTTTTGAAAAATTAAGGAAATATAACGGACGTGGGACCCGCTAGGTTAAGTTCGGAAAAATTCGGCCAACTAGGTTAAGTTTTGAATACTGGAATTAATTTATCGGGTGTTAAGAGATAAGTAGAGGTTGCAATTTGGATTGATATGAGAGAGAAAAGTTAGGCAAGTCATTAAATGAGGTGACAAGTGTCACCATGTGATTGGATTGAGTTGTCCACAACTATTCACCTCTTTGACTTAATTGACCAATTGATTAAATATCTCAAAAATTACCACAAAAATCACCATTTCTTACCTCCATTGTGGCCGGCCACCTTGAGCAAGGAAGAAAGAAAAACTCTTCAAAGTTTGGCATCCATCTAGTGCAAATCATCCAAA